CGCAGTGTAAAGTAGAACTCAGAAAGTTGGAACATCAGTATTCCCATGCCCTTAGAAGTAAAGCATGGGGAATGCCGGAACTTTCTATTGTTCGCTGTGGGTGTTGCGATTCCGCTCTATACCCTTCATGACATGTTTCACTGGGCTCGGTGAACCCAAAACCCTAAGCCGTGGCTCAATGCAAGACTCAACTTCATGCCCGGTACTTCATCCTGGCCTATATAGCATGTTTATAAGACCGACTCATAAACACAGAATGCAAACCCAAAACATAAAATTTCAATGCAGCCAGCGAGCGATTAAGCTGCTTTCGGAGAGGAGGAAGCTTGTAAAGCCATCGGTCTTCTTGCAATTTAAGATCCTTCGTGCTTTAGGGTTCAGGGTTGAGGGTTTAGGGGTTTAGGGGTTTAGGGTCTGGAGTTTAGGGGTTAGTCTTTCGGGAGCGAGGTCTTTAAGGCTGGAAAACCCTTAACCATGATCTTGTTGGACAGCTACCGGAAATAAAGAACACCTTCAAGCAAGGCTAAAGTACCTTGATTACAGGTCGGCAACTTCAAGCCATCAAACACAGCTATCCAACTCCCTTTAAACCCTGCATATTCGGATCCTTGCTGCTCTCTGTCGTAAGGGAGGGCGGGTTTGTCCACACCGTTGCTGCGTTGCGGCTCTTCTCCCCCCGTAGGATTCCGTATGTCGGCCGGCTTCTTGCCTAAATGAAGCCGGCTTTCTGGAGTTTAGGGTCGATGAGGCCGTAGGCTGTAGGGCTCGATCGTTTATTCCCGTCCATCGGATGTGACCTAAGCGCTTCGGGCTTCCTTAGCCTTGGAGCACATGTAGATTGCTTAAGCTGCCTCCAATCGCAGTTGAACCAAATCCTCCGCGAACCAAGCATGCAAGCCTCAATGTTGAGTTGTTGTTGGCGCAAGAATTTCGTTGAAATTCGAACAGCACTACATGCATTCTGATCCGCACGCTAGTTGTTTTGGCGCACGAACATCATCGACACAAGCCTACCCTACATCCTACATCCGAAACCCTGGTCCAAAGCTGAGCACCCCGAACCCTTAACCCAGAACCCTAAACCCCAAGCCCCTGAAAACCCCAAACCGCGAAACCCCTGAACCCTAAACTCTGAACCTAAAACCCTAAACCATAAACACCCAAACCCTAAACCCCAAACCCGAAATCCCAAACCCTAAAACACTACAATCCTGAACTTGCTTCCGCGGTGCTGCGTTGCCGACAGTTGCACCACTTCCTCCCAGCACTTTGGATCAGCGTTTCGAAGATCTGCCTCTCAAGGGGTTTAGGGCTTAGGGGTTTAGGTGTTTATTGTTTTGGGGTTTGGTATGTTTGGGGTGTAGAGTGATAACCATGTCGTAAAATCAGAGATCCCATGATGATACTATTTCTTAAAACTCCTGAACGGCTAACTCCCAGTCCCAAAAGTCCTACCATCGTCAAGGCGTCTGAAGAGAAATCATAATTAAACACAGGGCCGTAACAATTAGAATAAGGTTTTGGGGCCATTATACCATATTCATAATAGGGAGCCACCAAAAGAGTGTTAATACTCATTTAAAGCCCCTATGTCACGGGAAGCCCCAAAAAAGCAGGTCATTTTAGGTTCAGCTGAACCCGAAAGCCTGTCTTTTGGAGCCGCAGGGCCCGGGGCAAGGGGCCTCCGGATGTTGGGCACCGGGTTTACAGTCGGCTATAAGCAAAGTTAAAATTCCATTTAAGGCACTATAACTCTACTTATATCCTACTTAATAAGTCCCCTGGGCCTCCAATTACGGTCTGATATATGGGCCTTAATAATTAGAATATGGTTTTGGGGGTTGGTTATAGTCCATAATTGTAATAAGGGACCCCCCAAACTAGTATATGTAACCATTCAGGTCTCTGTAGTAGGAGTTTTGGGTTTAGGGCTCAGAGTTGAGGAAGTTTGGGGAAGGGCTCTGTGTTTAGGGTCTAAACAACCAGGGTCACAACACGAACCATGGCAACTATGCCACCACTGCGATTCTGGTGCTTGTTAGAGGCATAGACATCGTAGCTATCGCAATGCTGACAAGTTGAAAGAGAGCCATGACAAGCGCCAACCTTTATAAATATAAGAACTCGTACTACTGCTCCTATTCTCCAACAGAATGACGGCCGAGACAATCAGGGATCTTGCTTGGATGATATACTATAGGACTGTAGGGGCCTTTTAGTTAAATAGCTACCAATGCTATGTTGGAGGCTCCTTATAATGCTTGTAATGTAATTAATGGGCCCCAAACCCTATTCTAGTTATGAAGCCCCCTTTGTTACTCGTTTCCATGAGCAGCATCCTCGTGGCTGCCGTGACCAGCATAGTCGCACTTCTCCAGACATGATTTTTCATGGAAAAACATGTTTTTTGATGAAGAAAATGTGCTCCTGTGCTCTTTCTTGACTGAATCCTTGAGAAACCAACGCTGCATCGTCTTCAGATACTCAGTCATGCTCTGCCGCCTATCACTGCCAGTGTCGTCGCAAGCCCACACCACCATGGGAACCAGCCTGGTGGGCGGAAGTGGTGCAGCTGCATCCAAGCACATCCTTGTTCTGGCCTGTGCAAAAGATGCGCTATGCCAACAGATCCACCGAAAACCCTCACGCCAGACCCTTTTCAGTCGCAATGAACACTGAAGACTCAGTAGAGCCCTAAACGGCTGCAACCCAGACGCTGTAAGTCTCGAACTTCGAGGTGCACCTCGAACCTGAAGGTTCAAAAGCTATAAATGTTTCGGGTTTTAGGGTTTAGGGTCCAGAAACCTGCCGAACCCACACGACCTTGAACCCCTTAAATCCAAAGTTATCACCCGCGGCACCCCACAGAGCCCAGCAGGAACGGATGTCGACGGCCTCGCCACGGAAGTCAATCTCGATGCGCCTTGGGAAAGGCGGGGGCCCTTGGGCTTCTTCTGTTGAGTTCCGGCCATGTGGCTTAGGATTTTCGTGTCGGCTCTTGCACCCCCGACATCTTCTATAAACCTTATCAATCAAAACCTAAGCCCTGCGGTGTTCGGAGCACGAGGGCTCGCGGTTCAGGTATCCAGGATGTAGGGTTTGCCTCGGGGTGTATAGTAGGATCAAGAACCTGCTCCTCCCGTTTGGGGATGGCTTTGGAGCGTCAGGAAACTTTGGTCCAAGGATTTTGGGGCCTTCAGGGTTTCCTGGCTCAAAGGTAAAACGGTTGCCGAGCTACACATGCCGAGGCTGCAAATGATTCGGAACGACGGTTGAGGCGTAGGGTTGCAGGATGTCGGCGCTTTCGGGGTTACTGTACTAGGGGTTACCAAAACTCCTTCCTTGGGGCGCTTATATAGGAGATAAACTCTAAACAATCCTCAAGTGAGCCTCTAGTACAACATGATAGAAAAGCGAAGATAAGCCCAGTGAAGACCTGAGGTCTTGAATCCTGGAATATCACTAAGATGCCCAGTAACCTAGGAACAAAAGGGCTCCCTTCTTGGTATTGAGTAACTTCATAAGAAACCTAGGACTACAAAAAGGGAACAAGGGTAGTACTGGGCATCCTAGATCACGAGACTTGACCATCTCAGTATCAAAATCCACGTATAAGCCCGTTAAAACGGAGCAAGCGTGAGGCTAACGCTTCTCTGTGCCCTCGAAGAAGGGCGTCGGCTCTGCCATCGATGGAAAATTCACGGCGTCGCCGACGGAAGGATGTCGGGCGCGGAAGAAATTCTCTAAGAGTCCAAGTATACAACTTATAATAAGATTTTGAAGTCTAGGAGCGTGTGCAGTCCCTGCGGTATTTCAGAGCAAGAAGCTCTTCATGAGGGTGGTTATAAAAGAAGCGTAGTCATAGTAATACCCCACGAATGGAGATGGTTTTCAGGATACGGTCACGAACAATAGCAGCCTTTCTTCAATTTCGCTTGAGGCGACCATCAACGAAGCCGCCCCTCAACACATGCCAGGAAGAAAAAACCGACAATGCTGAACCGCCAAAGGGCACTAGCACTCTCACCAGCAATCATAAGGGAAATGGCATGTACGCTCCACGGCTCATGTTGCATGCCGTTTACGGGCCAGTATGGCTGCGAAGAGGTACCTTCCATGAGCATGTGCAGCAAAGTACTATTAGCATAGGGTTCTGTGGCGCAAGGCGCACTCAACAAGGAAGTGTAGCATGAGTAGGTCCATCAAGCAATCAAGCTTGCGCAGGTAATTAGTTTGGGGGCATAATTAGGGTTTAGGGGTAGCACCCTATACTGCTGCATCAGCAGATATTGCGCTCTTGTGAAACTGCTGGCAAGACTAGCAAAAGCCACATGACACAGTCAGCACCACCTGTAGCGAAGGGGGGACAACGATGTTGATGATGATGTCGATGGTGGTAGCAGTTTAGATGATGGACATAGCAAGGATACTAACAGTAGTTAAATGACGGTGACCACGCGGGCATTCCCCCTGTTTTGAACGTCGAGGTGTATCGTTCAACTTGTGAAGCTCGACCTAGTGTATGATCCACGCCCCACGCAGCTCAGAGAATTTAGGGCTTGCTAGGGTTTATTCCCTACTTGTCGGGTATCATGGGGAACTAAAGGTTAACCTTTTTGGTAATATAGGGATAGGGGCTATACCACGCAAAAAAGGTTAAAGGCTGCCTACTCTGCTACTAGGATTCCAGTTTAGGGTTTGTGGGTTGGCTGCGGTACGGGCAGAGCGTTGAGTTTAAGTAGGAGGTTAGGCTCTTCGCGGAGGGGGGCCGGTTCTGTAAGCCAAAGTAGGAAGAACAGCGTGACTAATGAGACCCCGGGTTCTACTACCTATGACTCCTATGACATCCCTGGCAGTTCCGTTTTATTGCTACTTCAGGCAACCCTGTAATATGCAAAAATTGAAAATGACAAGTACAAAGTGATACTAAATAGAATGAAAAAGATTCCTACAGAACATCCTCCACGCTTGGGCCATGAGCGACTTGCTGAGGGCATGGCAAAGGTGATGAAAAACTGGGAGTTGTTGCTGTGGCGTCTGGCAACAGTCACAAGGGACACTGGCTTCGGGTCGTGGTTTCGGGTTGTGAGGGGTTAGCGGTTCGGATTTAGGGATTAAGGCTTTGGGTTTCGGGGTTTAAGTTTTAGGGTTCATCCGGTCCCCGGTTCTCTGCATAGACGCATCCCCTTGTCCCATTGCCTCAACGCTAATGCTAAGGCTAACTTGGTGGTTCATGGGTGGTTATAGGGGGGTTATACGTCCTCTAATATGTGATGCAATTTTCATTACCCTACTTATATAACACCACTTATAACCTTAGTTGCTCAGTTCATAAGCCCCCCAAAGTGCACACTTTCAGTTTTAAAGTGGGTCATATTATCCCAAAAAGTGTAAAGTGTATCCACTCAGCCAGTAAGTAACTACCCGGCCCATGAACTTCGAAGAAGGGCACCACTGCAGCTCTGCATTGCCATCACCGACAGCATGCAAATAGCAGTCCATACCTGGACCTCAAAAGTATGCAGAATAATAGCCCTTTATAGGTTTTGGGCCATTATTTGTACCTACTTTTGGGGTCTAGGTAGCAGTCCCAACTTGCCCCAACTTCAACGATGTAACACCTCGAAGCCCTGGACACCAGTTGTGTCTGCTGATACTGGATGCTCAAACTTTGGGATTTTGGGGCTTAGGGTTTACGGGGGTTCAGAAGCACCATTTATTAAACACCCCTTTTATAATGAACATACTTGGGAGCCAATCCTCCCGAACTCATCCCGCTCTTCAAATCGTAATTTGTGTTAGGGGTTCAGGCTCAAGAGGAGCAGCAAGAGCAGGAGCAGGAGCAAGAACAAAAGCAGGAGCAGCAAGAACAACAGCAAGAGCGAAGCAAGAGCAGGAGCAGGTGCAAGAGCAATAACAGGAGCAAGAACTAACCAGAGCGGGAGCAACAGCAAGAGCAGCAAGAGCAAGAGCACGAGTAAGAGCAATAACAGGGGCAACAGCAACAGCAAGAACAGAAGCAAGCGCAAGCGCAGGGGCAGAAGCAAAAGCCAGCCCAGGAGCAAGAGCCGGAGCAGCAGCAAGATCCCTCCAAAGTGACAGTAGATATACAACATAATAACCACAACTTTCAGTGTTTTTGTTCGGCTTCTTTCAACATTATGGGGAAGGGATGATGAAGTTTGCTGAACTTGCTGCTAGTGTTGGCTGTGCTGGGGATCCTGATCCGCCACGTTTGCGCAGATGGGAACCTCCACTGCCAAAAGCGGAATAAGGGACATGAGAAATGCTATTGCTGAGTCAGCACTGAAGAGGAACTGTTTGTAAACATGTTGGCACCTAGGGTTTAGGCCTAGGGTTGCACCCTGAACCATCATAATAAAACCAACGCGAAAAACCCCACATCCTTAGCCCTAAATCCGAAAACCCTCAAGACCTTAGCATCCGGCATCCCGGCATTGGCCATTGAGAGAACCCCACGCTTTGAGTGCCTTTCGGAAGGCTTCTTTTCGGGACTCTCAGAGGCCAAGGGCCCTCTACATTGCAAGGATCCCCGTACTAGCCTACACCTGAACCCTAAACCACTAAATCCTAAAGCCCTAACGCCATAAACCCCACACCCCAAACCCTAAGCCCGTGAACCCTTACCCCTAGACTCGTGGGACTCGAAGTCGCTAAGTCCAGTCGCAGCCCTCAAACATGAAAAAGTAGTTCTCTCGGTTTGGGTCCCTTTTAGGGGCTCCTTAACGGGATGTATAAGGGTTTCTATGGGTTTCTATAAGGGTACTATGTGGACTGGTTGTCTAGTTTAAAGTCCCTTTTGGGGCTCCTTAGAGGATCCAAAAGGGTCCATTTAAGAGTTCTGTCAGGGTCCCTTTTAAGGTCCTTAGAGGGTAAACTAGGGCCCCTTTTTGGGTCCTTGTTTATAATGGTGCCGTACTGTGTTGGAGACCTCAAAGGGGAGCCTAAATTAAAGAACTACCGACTTGGCAAAATCCCATGTTCAATGTGCTTGGTTGCTGGGTTTAGGGTTTAGGGTATACCTTGCAAGTCTGGGCCGAAACCTATTACTACAAGCCTAAGGCCTAAGGGTCTAGCTTCAAGGCGCCACGCCTAACCCCGACCTCGAAGCCTAAAACTCTCTGCGAGCCGAGTCCACTACCAATACCCTGCAAATACATACTACTCCATATATCGGGGTGAGAAATGTGAGTATTGAGAGCCCTGCCGTTAAGCACGGGGGGATTGGCGTTGGTACGGCCCAGAACCTAACCAACAAGTTTGCAGAGCGCTCTGTACGGGCTAAGAGAAACTACTTTACGGAAAAGCCTTACACCATGAACCATAGCCCAAAGGTAATAAGCCATCTATCATGATTCAGGGTCGCGCAGATAGGGCTTTCAGCATTAGGGTTCTCAGGGCTGTCAGGGCTCAGCGATTCGGTTTCCCGCAGAGCCCCAATAGCGTCGTATGCCCAGTACTCTTAACCCTAAACATCCCTGAACACTAAGCAGCGGTGCTGGATACCAGCAAGCTTGCCTGAATGCAAGGGGCCGGCTAGACCCTCAAATCAAAGATCCTGAACAACTAGATAACCTCCTGCAAAAATACAAAATAACGCCTCAACCCTCAAACTACCCCAAGCCCCAAACACTGAAATCACAAAGTCACACAAGCAGAGCTGTCGTGCCCCCTAAGGCCCAAGCTTATAGCAGAACTTCTCATCTCTGAACCTCTGCCCATAGATTGACCTGCAGGTTAGGGTTTAGGGTTTATATAGGGTTTAGAGGTTTACATGTTTAGTGTTTAGGGTTTAGAGGTTTACAGGTTTAGGGTTTAGGGTGGGTCAAGTTCTTCCGCCCCAAAACCCTAAAACCCTAAGCCCAACACCGGAACGAATCAAATAATAGGACTGCTGAACCCAAGTCCAAGGGCTTTGTAGGGGTTTAGGTCCAGGGCTCTTTCAGGGCTTCGAGTTCCAGGCCCCAGGTTCTTTGTTGGCTCCAGCTTGGGGTTTTCCACCACTTGGAGGGTCGGGGGATTTAGTAACTGGTTCTTCCAGGGACTTATAAGTACGATAACCCCAGTTAGGGTCCCTTTTAGGGTACTTATAAGTCTACTTACTACCTACTTACTAAGTCCCCCGATCCTCCAAGCAGCAGCAGCACCGGCCCCACCCCCCTTCCCCCCCAGCATACCAATGAAGCATCCGGCGGTGTCCAGCTGGGGCGGGCACTCTCCCATCGCACCTGTGCCGAAGTTGAAGTCACCACCCTGGCCTCGGCTGCATTGGTAGTTATAAGTGGAGTTATAGGTAGTCGTAGTTATAAGTATAACTCAGCGTAACCCTCATTAGGGCACTTAGAAGCCCACTTAGCGCTACGCATGAACCTCCAAGTGCATCGAGTACACGGTTTAGGGTGTCTGGGCTACGGGCGTTCATAAGATTATGGGTTTTTGTGGGTATCGCAGTGCTTTCACTATGTGAATCGTTAGGGTTTTGATGCCGGCCTCCCGACTTGCTGTGTCGGCGCTTTGATTGAGTTTGGCCTAATAGGCTTAGTGAAAGGTTTTTTTTCGCTCCTGCACGACCCTAAACCCCAAACCCTACACCCTAAACCCTACTCCGGTTTACTATCGGGATGCATGCGGTTTGGGGCCTTTCGGCTTTCGATTGAAGGCGAAGCGGGGCTTAACTCCCTGGCATAACCAGACAAACCTGCCTGAAAGCACAAGCTCTGTGCCACAACTTAATTCCACACCACAGGAACTATTTAACTATCTTGGCATCACCCCTAAGCTTACGAAGCCTTACGAAGCCTTACTGCTACTACTACTACTACTGCTACTACTACTGCTGCTGCTGCTACTACTACTACTACTACTACTACTACTCCTGCTACTGCTACTACTACTACTACGACCACTACTACTACTACTACTACTACTACTACTACTACTACTACTACTACTACTACTACTACTACTACTACACTACCACTACTACTACTACTACTACTACTACTACTACTACTACTACTACTACTACTACTACTACTACTACTACTACTACTACTACTACTACTACTACTACTACTACTACTACTACTACTACTACTACTACTACTACTACTACTACTACTACTACTACTACTACTACTACTACTACTACTACTACTACTACTACTACTACTACTACTACTACTACTACTACTACTACTACTACTACTACTACTACTACTACTACTACTACTACTACTACTACTACTACTACTACTACTACTACTACTACTACTACTACTACTACTACTAACTATAAGAAGCCCGAAAAGCTTACCTGTTTGGTATTGGGAAACCCTTCGGATCCTTATCTTCCTGCTATATATATATATATATCCCATATGTACCCTTTAAGGTCCCTTATGCGGGCTAGGGGCCCATAGTAGGGGCACAGGCTCAATAGTAAAGCTCCTGTTTTGGTGTTCATATCTGGATTTCTATAGTAAGGTGATCACAAAAAGAAACTACTACGGAACCTATGGGCAGCGACTGAGGGCCTTTAACCCTGGGGTCCTTATATGCCCGCAATATACCCCATATATAACCTTTAGGCTACCTTAAGCGGGCTAGGGGCCCATGGTTTCTTCAGTGACTAAGTTGCCGGCACATCATGCCAGGAATGATCCGGGTCATCCTCGTATCTCGGTACCTGGCCGACTTGTTTTTGAGTTGAGCTTTGGGTTCAGGGTTTAGGGTTTAGGGTAGTTTTAAGTTCCGGGAAACCAAGATCAGTAAACGGGGGCTTGCAGTATAGCTACCTTACTTGGGGTTTTTGCTTACTTACAGCGCTGATCCTCCATCAAGGGTCGTAGGATGCAGTGTTAAGCTTAGAGCCCTCGACACAGCACTTTCGGTGCAGGTTTGGCTTGATCAATCACTTGGGGCATGGTCCGACGTAGTGTGTTAGACCGACACCGCAACCGTGCAGTAGCGGCCCTCAAACCTTTGAATTCTCTAAGTTTCCGACGCAGCGCCTGAACCCCTCATCCTCAAATCCTATAGACCCTAAAACCTTGGAGCATGGAATCCTCTACCCAAAGCCCCGGAATGCCCAAGGTGCCATCGAGGTCGGAGCCAATAGCCGAGTCCCGTTTCGCCGGTGCACAGGCCTGGAGGGCAAAAGTTGACGGGTGTGAGGCTAGGGTTTCGGGTTCAGGACGGTTTAGGGAATCAGAGGGTGAAAGGAGGAACCCCTAATAGGGACCCCTAGGTATATACCCATAATATAGCTATTATATACCCATTATATAGCCCATTATCGGGTAGGGGTCCCCATTAAGGCTCCCTCCTTTTCCCGTTTGAGGGAATGCTTCCACCCAGTGGCAGCATAAGATGTTGTGGTCATGGTTGTCGTCGTCGCCACCGTCGTCGTGGTGGTCCTGGTGGTCGTCGTCGTCGAATGGTCGTCGCCTGGTACATGGTCGTCGTTGTGGTCGTCAACAAGTCGTCTCGACAGTCACACAAAATGCTATGCCTGCAGCCAAGGCCACATTGACCACGAACAACAAACACAAAAGTGACAGCAACTGCAGCAATACACGTATTAAGTTGCAGTGCTTACCGAAAGTGGGGCGACGTTGATGACTTATGAAGAGGTTGCTGCTGCTGATAGCAAGTATAACGAGGCCGATAATGATGCTGCTGATGATATTCTTGGCTGACTTCTGAGCCCCTCCTAAAAGTTAAACCTTTAGCCCCTTACTATAGTTCATATAGAAACCCAAAAAAGTTAAAGTCCTAAGAGCCAACCAGAAGAACGCCAAGATATGATGATGCTGATTCTTCTATGTGTGACCATGACGATCGATAAGTGAGGGAAGGCTTGGTGCATCTCGTGAGGCATCCATTTTCGTGGCGCCCCGCTGATGTGAACCAACTACTTTGATGGTGGTGCACAAGATGGTTTGACACTGCATGACGCTGCTACGCTTACTCTGCTGAGGCATGGGCAGCGGAAGTTTTCCGAGGTAATCGGAAGCATGTCGTGGAAAAGCTCGAACTTCAGCCGCCCCACCTGAGGCGGAGCGGGGAAAAGTTCTTGCGGGTACTCTGAAAGCCTTATAACTTAGAATAGATTTTTGCGGCACATTGTCTCTTGAAAGCCGGCTGCCCTTTTCCAACACAGCGGAACCAAGTGATTCGATCATCTCTTAGTGCATCATCCACCACGGCTGAGACCTAAAGTTTTTGGGGAGGTGAGGTATCGCGGCAGGCAGCCCACTTCCGACGCAAACAAGCTCTGAAACCCAAAGACCCTTAACGCTGAAACCCCAAAGCCCCGAACACCCTGAACCCAGTTTCAAAATCCTCAAACTCCACGCCAGGAAACCCCCAACTAAATTCTGAAACCCGAAGGGGGCTCCGCATCATCGAACATCCTGACCACGAATGAAACCATGACGTGCACAGCCCTGAAGGGTTAAGAGGTTTTAGGCTTTCAGGATCTCCGGGTGTTAGGGTCTCTGGGTTTGGGGCTAGGGGGCTTCAGTCCCATGTCCTAGTGGTGGGTGTAACTACCAACACCATAGCCATGACCTTAGCTAGGATGAAGGCTCTCATATAGGAACCATCCTACTTGTCTCCCACCTTCCACCTTGAACTCCTGGTCCTAAGCCCGCAAACCCAACATGAAACGAAACCCTAAACCCTCAAACAGAAAAACCTAAAACCCTGAACCTTCCAAGCACGGTTTCATCCCAGCGCTGAGACTCCCACAGCACGCCGGCCAACAGCCATGTCCAGAAAGACCAGGGGGTTCAGGCCTCCCGAAGTTCCAGGATCTCTTAGGGTTTGTGAAGTTTTGAAGTGCAGAATTCAGCCGGTCGTCTACTAAATGCCTCTGTTAAGGAAACCTAAAAAGAACACTACTGAGTCCTGAAACCTCTTCTTAGGGATGTGAGGCATTTTGGGATTCTGAAGACACATGGGATACCCTCAAACGTGAGCCGTGCCATGAAGCTTCATAGCTAGCTGTAAGGCTTTTCAACCAAGCAACCTCTAAACCCTAAACCCCAAAGCCTAAACTTAAACCCCAAACCCAAACACCCTGAACCCTTACCACTAAACCTCGAACCTTTAACCCATACCCTGAACCCTCAACCCTAACCCTAGGCACCGATCCTTCAAGTAAAATGCCTTGGCCGCTCTATATCGATTCTAGAACCCATATAGCCCACTTAAGCCCTGCGTGGACCCTTGTTATAATAAGGACCCCCTTGTTCTCGGAAACTCTAAACCCTAAACCTGAAGTCTAAACCCTTGGTAGATCCCATATAGTATGTTACACCCTAAACCCTGAATTTTAAACCCTTGCACCCTAAACCCTGAAGTCGAAACCCTTGTAGACCACGTATAGGAAACCCTAAAGCCCGTATAGGAACCCTAAACCCCTACACCCTAAACCCTGAACTCTAGACCCTTGTAGACCCCGCATAGGAACCGCTTATCGTCCCAGCCTGCCATGGCTGAGGCGCGCAACCGGCGATCGGCTTGTCAAACTCTACTCTGCGGCTGCTTAGGCTTCAGGGTTCCTGCGTTCCTGGGTTCAGTTTTTTTTTTTAAGGGCTCCCTTTTGGGAACCCAGGGTTTAGGGTGTAGGGTTCGGGGTTTGAGGGTTTGGGGTCTTCGGGTTCATGGTTTGGGGCTTCGGAGTCCAGGGTTTATATGTCTGGTTGCAGTTGCCGCAGGCCCTGAATTGAAAGAGTTATGATTCAACTATGATTTTTGCTCCTGCCTAATAGTACCTGGTACGGAGGAGAGCTACTTTCCGAAGCGGCCTGGGCCGGGGTGCGAAGTATCTGGCAACCTAAACCCTAAACCTTAAACTCTAAAACCTAAATCCTAATCCCTGAAACCTAAACCGTAAACTCTAAACCCTAAACCCTATATCCTAAACCCTCAATCCTATACCCTAAAGCCTAAACTCTTAAACCGCCTAAACCCTAAACCGCAAGCTGCATGGCGACCTTTCTGTCTCAGAAGATCACGTGGAAGTTCATGTCGCAGCTTTGAGCCTTTTAGGGCTCCTTTCAAGGATCTCTTTGAGGGTTTATAGGGCATACGGTTTAAAAGCTAGGGTTTAAGGACTCCTTTAAAGGATCCCTTTGAGGGTTTATAGGGCCTAAGGTTTAAACGCTGGGGTTTCAGGGGCTCCTTTAAAGGATCCCTTTGAGGGTTTATAGGGTTTAAGGTTTAAAAGCTAGGGTTTCAGGGCTCCTTTAAAGGATCCCTTTGAGGGTTTATAGGGTTTAAGGTTTAAAAGCTAGGGTTTCAGGGCTCCTTTAAAGGATCCCTTTGAGGGTTTATAGGGTTCAAGGTTTAAAAGCTAGGGTTTCAGGGCTCCTTTAAAGGATCCCTTTGAGGGATTAGGGTTAAGGGTCTATAGGTTCTTGCAAGGAATCCCTTAGAGGCTTCGGGTTCGGGCTTTAGGATTTGGCGTCTAATGAGTCTCAAGTCTCATACGGTTTGGGGTTTAGGGGTCATCTATCTTAGGGTCCAGGGTGTCCATTAGACTGTTTCTCGTTTGCTATCGTGACCAGCTTCAGTGGCATCGAAGGTTTTTTTTGGGGGGTCATCGTATTTTTGTTTCGAGTTTCAGTGTCTTAAGAATTGGGGTTTTTAAGGTATGAGGGGGGGGGAGTTTTAAAGTGTTTCGGGTTTCGAGATCCTTATGTGTAAGGGCGATTGTCTGATTTTGTAGGCAGGTCCGCGAGCGATTCGGAAATCTCTCCAGGCCGCGCGCTCTTAAGGAACCTGCCCTGCCCCAAACAGGGCCTTGATGTGGCATCCTACCTTCATGCACAAGCTGCTGATCGTCTCTGCAGCTGGCACAGCTTTTGGATGCCTTCAGATTAGATTTCCTGTAGGCATGTACTCATCTGGGTTTTTGTAGACGGCCACCTATCTCTTCAACGAGTTTGTGGACCTACAATACTTGTGACCATTGTGGTGATTGTGTAAGCCAGTACATAATTTCTAGTTGGGTAGGTGTCGGCATTGTCTCGTAGGGTAGCCGGGTAGCCTGCAATATCGTCAATGCCTCTATGGGTGGTACATTCCGGCAACTAACACAAAACCGTAAATCCCACTGGAGGGTCTCGCACAACAAGTAAATCCAAAACAAATGCAAACCCTGAAAGCCCTAAACTGCACATAAACACCGAACGAAAACATCAGGATCATTAAGTATCTTGCGCCCCTGATTGGCTCGGGGTTTTAGGGCTCCAGAGTTTCGGGCTTAGCCATGTAGGGATCGGGGGCATACGTTCGGGCTTGGGGGTCCTTGGTTGAAAGCAGCCACAAACACACCCCAATCCAAAACCCTAAACCAACATCCCAAATCCCAAGCCCGGGCGCTTCTTTTGAACGGTGGCGACAACTCGGGGAAGTCAGTCTGTGGCTGCACGCTCAAGAGGATGCCATACACTTCAAAGGGAAACGCACTTCTTTGATCGAGGAAGTCATCTAAAGACGCAGCCGACTCGACTAAACCAGAGCCTCGGGATTTTGGACAGATCGCGCCACTATACTACAAAAGGATTCGCGGTGAGGTGTGCTACTGAGTACTGCAGCTGCTGCTACAGTTGGTGTCTCGGGTTGTAGGTTGAAGGAAGTAATATCGGATTATGTCTCCGAACCTGATTTCAACTCCACCACAGCCCTAAAACCTGACTCCTGGCTCGGGCCCGAACCCTAATCCCTAAGCCACGAATCCAGGTCAAATTTCGGGTTTAATTTAAAGAGGCCACAATCCGAAACATTGCATCATACCCTAAGGCCCCAAAGTAGTTCTTCTTGGGGGCTCATATTTAAAATTCTATGAGGTAATCCCAAAAAGTAACTACTAATGGGTCCCTGGGTAAGCTCAAGTGCTTCGGCTCCTCTTCATGCACGCAGTTCTTCGGCTGGCAGCGCGCTTCGCGCGTCAAAACCTTCGGCGGCCTTTTCCCCAGAAAATTCCAGGGTTTGGAGCCCTTTAAAGGGTTTAGGGTTTTAGGGGTTTTAGGGTTTAAAGGGCTTAGGGTTTTAGGGTTTAGGGTTTTAGGGGTTTTAGGGTTTAAAGGGCTTAGGGTTTTAGGGTTTAGGGTTTTAGGGTTTTGGGTTTTGGGTCAAGGGCTCAGGGTTGAGGCCTGCATGCTCCACCGAAACTCTGAATAACCTACCTTTTCAAGGTTCCTTATTATGATTTCCTTATATAAGTCCCTAACAAGGTAGGTTATCCCGGGTTAAGGTAGTGCAACAAGTAGCGCATAAGCCAAACTCTGTTGACAGCTCCTCGTGTTCCGTACATCCAAAGGTTGAGGCGAGTTTTGAAAGTTTGGGAGCGAGTTCGTGCTGAAAGCATGTGGAATTTCCTCGGGCTTCGCCCACATCCAGGCACTCCTCCTTCTCGCTGCCCGAAGCATTCTTCCGTATAAAAAAGCCCTTAGATCCTGGTGGTTTCCAGGAGGACCATGCACTACGTGAGGCTCGATGCTCGCGGGGCTATAGGTTTCGGGTAGATGTTAGAGTTTGGAAGATGTGGTCCAGACCATTCACATGTTCACCTGTTAGAGCTCTGAAAAGTTTGGAAAGATCCTATGTTTTCGTGCTTCAACACTGCGTTCGGAGCCTGATGCTTAACACGTAAGCCTAAACACTGTACACAAGCCGCTGGCCCTGAAGAACGAAGGCAAATAATATGAATATCAAACTCGGAGTTTTGAAAAGAAACGAACTGCAAACTTTGAAGCCCCAAAACTAAAGACTGCGAGAGCACTGGCACCGAGAAAGGCATTCCTCTGGGCGTTAGGAAAACTGCGGCCGTCGACTGGTGTCCAAGCTTCTCCCGGCATAGGAGGGTTTAGGGCTTAGGGGTGTGCGGGATTGTGAGAATGAGCTGAAAACTACCAAGCAATGATCATTAAGCCATTAGCGTGGGCATGCGATAATGCTTCTGACTTGCACATGGCAAATGCACTACACGAGATATAACAAAAGTACAACCGGTTCTGACAGTGTTAGAGCTGGTACTTCTTCTTGAACAGGCAGCGATAAGAGTAATAACAAGCAAATTTGCCATACTTGTGCCGCTTTTTATGATAAAAGACTACGACTATTGTTGTTTCTCACATTCTCAGTAGTAGTTTGTTCTGGTGGCCGTCGTCGTAACAGTGGCGAGTAACCAGCGGTCGTGGAGGTGGTAGTGGCAGCAGTAAGAGATGCTGCTGCTGCTGCCGCAGCAGCAAGACCAGATGCTAGGTAGGAGGAGATAAAAACGCTTTGCGTTGCAGTCAAGTAATTCGTACTGTTGTTTCCTGATAGTGACTATAGAAGCTATATAGGGAACATCCCCCAAACCATTTTCTGATTCTTCATGCCAGCATAATACGGTCTTTCAGACGCATTGCAAGTAACTCGGGGGATAGGGCTCGCTCGAGAGATGCAAAACGCATGCTCGCAGCATGTCAAACAAATTATTCCCACAGCACAAGGTGCCTCATGAACCACAAACCCTCAACCAGGCCTTAGGGTGTAGTACAGCTTAAACCGCTAGTCCCGAAACCATAAAACCGCGACTGGGGAGACCCGACAGACACACACGGCGAATCGTTTTTGAACCTCTGTACAGATGGCTATACATGGGTCATCAACACGCGCATGTAGTGGTGCTTATGCAAGAAGCGCATGCTTTGACAGCATGTTTCCAACTCCGAAACCTGTCGTCTTTTTGCTAGCTACTCCTGATCTTGTTGCTGGGGTTCCTACGTCCCCCAAACTCCCTCAACTTGTCTAGACTCTAAGCCCTAGAATTCTGGAAACCCTAGCGATGGCTGCTGCTATCATCATGGTTGGTGCATGTCAGTGAACCCACGAACTTGCATCCTGGGTTGCTTACATGAAGGCATGAAATATATGCGTGTGTGTGTGTGAGTATATGTATATATATATATATATATATATATATCTTTACGCGTATAAACAAATATAGAAAAAGTGCGCGCATGCATGCATTCGGGTACTTATGCAATGTATGTAAAACTTATGTAAAACCTTGATATCTTTGTACGTATGCAAATGTAAGTGTAGATGGGTCTGAACCAGTATACACGTACATACGAGTTTATGTGTTGGTGAATATGTATGTTTACATGTACACATATGTACATGTATACAGGTATACATATACTCATGCACACACACACACACATTTCACACATACATATACATATACATACGTACATGTATATCTCTCTCTCTATATATATATATATATATAATATATATATATATATAAATATTATATATGCCTCTGGATATACAGACACATATACATATGAGTAGATGTTGGTATGCATACTCTGCATATGCATGTATGCGCGTGTACATGTTATGTATGTATGAATGATTGTATGTATGTGTATGAAAGTATGTATGTATGTACGTGTCGATGTGTAGACCGATAGATAGATGGAGGGAGGGCA